TTATTATTATTATTATTATTATTATTATTATTGTTATAACAAAAAACCACAGTATGTCTCAGCAAACGAGATATCTATGCTGGATAATTATTATTATTATTATTATTATTATTATTATTATTATTAAACCTACAACAACCCTATTATTATTATTATTATTATTATGCACATGCTGGGTGGCCATCTATCAGGAGGGATTTATTACAGGATGTGCATATGTATGCTAAGTTTTTACAAGGATCATTGCCTGTATGGGTGCGTGTTGAGGAAGAACACCTGGACAATTAAGCAATTAAGCTTGAGCCACTCCCTGCATGGAGTATATCATGAGGAGTGTTTCCTAGTGTATTCAGAGAGGGTGATCAGATGATCAGGAAGAGACTTCTATACTACAGGACTTGCTGAAGATCCTGAACAATTTACTACAAGACTCCTTGCACCAATGAGGAAGCAGAGAATGCATGATTTTAATGCATTGGACTTTTGTGTGAATTATTTTGCTGCAATGGACTAAGTTTATTTTCAAGGCTGGTTAATTTGTAAAGCTGCATATTTATCTCTGACTACTCAAGAGTAAATTTTGTTTTTCCTTTTACTCTGACTCTGTGATTCAACTAGAGCCGTGATGGTGAACCTATGACACGTGTGTCAGCACTGACACGCATGGCTATTTTTGATGACACGCAGACACATGTGGCCACATACAGAGAAATACACCTTATAAGAGCCAATCTAATTCCATCCTTAAATTTGTAAAAGGCTCTACACATTTAACATCTGCACGTTTGAGCATTGTTCACTCCATAACTCAGCATGGATTATACATTTTTCTTATTTAAACTATAAATATTGCAAAATTATGGGTTTTTTTCTTGAAGTGACACTCCACCCAAGTTATGCTCAGGTTTTTGGCAAATTTTGACACACCAAGCTCAAAAGGCTACCCATCACTGAACTAGAGGGCTGAGGCTGGGAAGACTACTGGGTAGCTTCTGCATAGATTGATAAACCGCAACAGGATTGGGTGTCTTCCAGGAGGGAGTTGGACTGGATGGCCCTTGCGGTCTCTTCCAACTCTAGGATTGTATGACTCAAAATCTCCAGGTCTCTGACCTCAAAGGTTGCCATTCTGGCAAACTAGATCTGCATAAAGAGCCACAGAACAGCCCCTTGGAGACCCTCCAAAGCCCC